TGGAAGAACTCCAATGGTGTCTGCCAGCTTCTGTGTCAGCACACCTATACTAAGTCACAATAATGGCTGTTGCCAATGTCTCAATCCCTGGAGAGGGCTCACCTCTCACTGAGATGTGCCCAGGGTGTATCAGGTGAGTCTCTTTTCAAGAAAGGGCTGTACACCTTTCTTTCTGGTGATTTTAGATTGCATTCCAAAATGGGTGAATTTGTGCATGGGCCCTTTAAGAGGCAGCTTTTTTCCACTTACATCCAATAGCTTTTCTAGAGGTATTCCTCATTGTAGTTAATAGCCAGTAAAGCCAGATATTAGGACACTCATCTTGGTTGTGGTGAGTCCAAAGGTTGCTTATAGCAGTAACACTCCCCAGCTCAGGTTCCCCACTCCTCCAGGGAAGGCCACGTACCTTGGTATTGCTCCCAGCCAGCCATAAATTTCTGTGACTCATGAAGGTGACGATTTTTCTTTCCAGAAAGGAATTTCCGCCTCTTCCACTTCAGTCAGAACTGCCCCTTATTGCAGGGGTTCTTTTTACACAGTTTTCAATTCCCTCTCAGGGGTAATTTTTCCTTTGAAATTTGTTTTGAATTTCCTTTGAATTTCGTCTTGAAATCCTTTACTAGTTCTAATAGTTATTTTTAGTGGATCCCTACTATTTCTATATATCAGAAAATGTCTGATAATTAAATGCACTCACATTATTTTGCAAACATCACCATCATCCATCTTCAGAATGCTTTTCAATTGCCCAAGCTGAACTCCATACCCATTAAACAATGTCTCACTCCTCTATTCACTCCTAGTAAACACCATTCTTTCTGTCTCTAAGAAACTGACTACTGTTGGTACCTTATTTAAGTGCTATCATACACTATCTGTCCTTTTGTGACTGCCTTATTGCACTTAGCATACTATCTTCAAGGTTCATCTATATGTCAGAATGTCTTTCCTTTTTAAGGCTGAATAATATTCCACTGTGTGTGTGTGTGTGTGTGTGTGTGTGTGTGTGTGTATCACATTTTGCTTATCCACTCTTCTGTCACTGGACACTTGGGTTATTTCCACCTTTTGGCTACTGTGAATGATGCTGCTATGGACATGGGTATATAGCTATCATTCAAGTCTCTACTTTCAATTCTTTTGTGTATGTACCCAGAAGTGAAATTGCTGAATCATATGCTAATTTTATTTTTACTTTTTTGAGTAACCGCCACACTGTTTCCCACGGTGGCTCCATCATTTTACATCTCCATCAACAATGCACAAGAGTTCCAACTTCTCCACATCCTTGCCAACACTTGTTATTTTCCTTTTTTCTGATCCTGGCCATCCTAATGGGTATGCGATTGTATCTTGTTGTGGTTTTGATTTGCATTTTCCTAATGATTAGTAATGTGCAATATCTTTTCATGTGCTTATTGGCTATTTTTATATCTTCTTTGGAGAAATGTCTATTTTAGTCATTTGCCCATTTTTAATTGTTTTTCAGTTGTTTTTTGTTATTGTTGAGTTGTACAGTTTCTTTATATACTCCAGATATTAACCCTTTATCAGATACATGATTTTCAAATATTTTCTCCCATTCTGTGGGCTGATTTCACTCTATTGATTTCCATGCACAAATGTTTTTAAAATTTTGATCTATATTTTCTTTTGTTGCCTTTACTTTTGGCATCATATGCAAGAAATGATTGTCAAATTCAGAGTTAAAAAGCATTTCCTCTGTATCTTCTTCTAAGAGTTTCATAGTTTTTGCCCTTACATTTAGGTATCTGATCCATTTTGAATTAATTTTTGTATATCACGTAAGGAAAGGGTTCATCTTCATTCTTTTTCATGTGGATATCCAGTTTTCTCAATATAAATTGTTGAAAAGACTGCCCTTTTCCAGGGAATGGTTTGACATCCTTATGAAAAATTATAGCATCTATGGAAGGATTTATTTCTGAGATCTTTATTTTATTCCATTGGTATATATATGTGTGTGTGTGTGTGTGTGTTTATGACAATACAACATTATTTAGAATACTGTAGCTTTACAGTTAATTTGAAAATCAGGAAGCATGAGATCTCAAAGTTTGTTCTCCATTTTTGAACATTTCTCAAACATTATCCTATTTGAGGTCCTTTGAGATTCCATATGGATTTTACGGTGAATTTTTCTTTTTCTGCAAAAACACATTGTGTATATTTTGATAAGGTTTTCATTGAAGCTGTAGATAACTTTCGGTAATATTGTCATCATAGTATTACTTTTCCAACCCATAAGCACAGAATGTCTTTCCAGCTATTTGTATCTTCTTTAATTTTGATCAGCAACATTTTGTGGGTTTCATTGTACAAGTTTTTTCACCTCTTTGGTTAATTTTGCTCCTAACTATATTTTTTCTCTTTGATACTATGGTAAATGGAATTGTTTACTTAATTTCCTTTTGGTATTTTTCATTACTAATGTATAGAAATGCAACAATTTTCACATTAATTTTATATCCTGAAACTTTGCTGAGTTTATTTATTAGTTCTAACAGTTTGCGTATGTAGCATTTAGAGTTTTCTATCTTTATATAAGATCGTGGAGACTTTAACAGACATAATGTTACTTCTTTTGTTCCAGTTTAGATGCTTATTATTTCATTTAGTTGCCTATTGCTCTGACTACCACTTCCAGGACTATGTTGAATAGAAGTAATGAAATCCTGCATCCTTCTCTTGTTCCTTATCATAGAGGAAAAGCTTTCAATCTTTCACCACTGAGTATTATGTTAACTATGTTTTTTATAAATTGCTTTTATTATATTGAGGTACCTTCCTTCTACTTCTAGTTAGTTGAGTGATTTTATCATTAAAAGGTGTTGAATTTTGTCATATGTTTTTTCTGCCTCAATTGACATGATCATGTGGGGTTTTTACCTTCATACTGCTATTTTGTTGTATGACATTTGATTTATTTTTGTACATTGAACCATCCTTGAATTCCAGGAATAAATTCTACTTAATAATCATGTATAGTGCTTTTAGTATGCTCTAGAATTCAGTTTAGTAGTATTTTGTTGAGGTTTTTAAAATCAATATTCATAAGGCATATTAGGCTATAGATTTCATGAGGATTTTTTATGTCTATATTCTTGAAGGATATTGCTCTCAAATTATTCTTCCTTGAAATCTAACAAACCCCTGAGAATAGAGATTTTCTAGGTAAGTGAAAGTTTGGATAATTCACTGTGCTCTGGGTATGGTGCTTTTAACAAAGCTCAAAGTACGTCAGACCTCTTCATTAGCCATAAGGTTGCTGGCTTTGGGCTACCAAGCCTCTGAGGAGAGAGGAGAATATCTCCAAATTGAAACATCACAGACCCCTCTGTTCCACGACTGTATTAGCTAGGATTTTACCAGAGAAACAATATCTGTAGGATATGTAATTATACTCTCTATGTATATGTATATCTATAGATATCTATACGTATATGTATTAAGATTTATCTTATGGCTTATGTGATTCTGAGGGTACAGCCTCCTTTCTGGGAGATACCAGTGAGCTGAAGTGAGGCAGAGGGAGAGCATAAACATGATGTCCACTGCACTTTATCTCCTCAAAGAACATTAGTAGGTTCTAGATGTGAGGCAAACCAGATGCCTTCCCCTCAGGCTGAAGTTCCAGGAAAATCAAAGGTGTCTCTTTCACAGAAGGACTGAGTATGTGTTTCAATCAGCTATCTGGCTGTGCACTGGAGGGGATAGCTGGCCAGGAACTGTCTCTGATTACCATCCCATGGGACCCAGGAATGAAATCTCCCCTGGCCACTAGAGCCAGGTGATCTAGGACATACCTTGGAAGCAGCCATAAAATCAGGACTTTTTCTTCTTTTAGGTATCTAAAATGAGAAACTTATGACTTTAATTAAACCAGAAACTGATAGTTCTTAAAGTTTGATTAGAGTTTAGATAAGGCTCTGTTTACATCTAGTTCACTCTTATTTCAAGGGTATAACTCTCCAGGGTTTTCAACTGAGAGTTGGTATATTTACTGAGACTCCTTCCCCTGGCAGGTATGTAGACACAACTGCTGAAAAATCTGCACTGCTTTACGGAAGTCATCTCTTTATATTTTCATCTCTTTCTCTTCACATGTTTAGAAGTAGGAAAAACCCTTGAGGGGGGAAGAAACTATATGTTGAAGCCCCTTGAGTCTAATTTTGTCACTATAGCTATGAAAGATCCTCCAGCTTTTGCCTATTTTTAATGTCTAGCAGCACTGGTCTGTTTCCATAGCTAAGCTTCTAATTTTGACTTCTCAGCTATAACCAGGTTTGCAAATAGCCCCTGTGACAAAATCAACTGCTTCTTTTCAATTTGCTACTGCCTCTAGGAGTTACAACTGAGATTCTAACATGTCCACTGGGCCTCTTCCTACAGTGTGTCATTTTTCTTCAGCATCATAATGCAGTGGTAAATCTCCCTATCAAAGGCTTTTGGTTTAGTCTTTCAACTAGAATAGAACTGATGGAGGTTATGGTGAATAAACTGCTCTTTAAGGCAGATGGATCTTATGAGAAGTAAACACATTATGTGTGTAGGTTGGATAGTGAGTGTGAAAATGAAACAACTGTGACTCCAAAAATTTTTGATCTGAGGAAATTATGGTAAAAAGTAGTAAGTTTAGTGGTTTGACATTTATGCAGATTATTGACCAATAAGTCAATTATTTGTTTAAAAAGTTTCTTATATACTTATAGATATATATCTTTTGACTTACTAAAAATTAGAAGACAAATTGGTTAATTCTAAGATATCTGTTTCGATTTTAGATAAGAATGCTTTCCATTTTCAAATATTTCATTGAAGTGGTTTTGTGTGATCTTAAATGCAGTTTTTATTTTCAATTTTATGTTATGATCTTATTTTGCACCATATGTTTTAAACCATTTCAGAATTTTAAATGTATTCATTAATTATTTTAAATTAATATAAGTTCGATATGACTAACCACGTATTTTTTTCAGGTGCAGAGTTTGGTTCTTCAGAGTGTTTTGCTTACCTTAATTCTAAGGCTGATCAATCTGGGAACTGTGGTTCAGGTCCTGACGGATACCAACCATGTCAGCCTAAGTATGTTTTAAGAAATCTATCTCAGAAACTCTATTTATTGCCTCATATTTGAAAATACCACCACATAATTAAGTTTATATATTATCAAAATATTACCTGACCATGAAGTAAGACTATATTTAATCCAATTATAAATGTCTTAAATACAGATTGTCCGTACCTCTCTTTGTCATATATCCAAATTATCCCTTATTCCTTTCTACAGAGTGTTTTTTGTTTTTTGAGGAAGATTAGCCCTGAGCTAACTGCTGCCAATCTCCCTCTTTTTGCTGAGGAAGACTGGCCCTGAGCTAACATCCATTCCAATCTTCCTCAATTTTTTATATGTGGGACGCCTACCACAGCATGACTTGCCAAGCGCTGCCATGTCCGCACCTGGGATCGAAGCGGCGACTCCTCAGGCAGCCGAAGTGGAACATGTGCCAATGCACCACCAGGCTGGCTCCTACAAAGTGTTTAATTCACATATAAGTACATTAATTACCCTTTAGTTAGAAGGACTGATCATTTTTATTGTGCATGCTGTCACTTTAATTTTACAAAGGATGACCATTCTTATAGTGATGAAATGAAAATGCATGAATTTTTACTATCCAGGAAGTAAAGCGCTGTGTTTAAGAACATTTACTCTACAGCCAGACATCTTGGTTTCAAATCCTAACTCTGCTGCTTTCCTACTTGTGTGAGCTTGGACATGTGCTTCACTTTTCTGATATGTAAAATACAAATATCAATTGCACTAACATCATTAGGCTGATTCCAGTATGGAATTTACATACTCTACAAAAAACACTTAGAATGGGAGTGACACATAGTATGCGCTATATGCATTAATTATTAATTATTAAATATGACAATTAGTATATATGTTAGAACTAGAATGTTGCTGTTATTGTAATATTTTATTTTGATATTATTTCAAACTTGGTTTGACAGTAAAAACTCCGTAAAAAACTTAGAGTTTGCATGAATAGCACAGACTCCCTATATATGCTTTACTCAGATTTACCAGTTGTTTACATTTTTCCCTTTTGCTTTATCTTTCTGGTTTTTTTTTTTTTTTTTTTGAGGAAGATTAGCCCTGAGCTAATATTCTGTGCCAATCCTCCTCTTTTTGCTGAGGAAGACTGGCCCTGAGCTAACATCCATGCCCATCTTCCTCTACTTTATATGTGGGATGCCTACCACAGCATGGCTCGCCATTCAGTGCCATGTCCGCACCCTGGATCCAAACCCGCAAACCCCAGGCTGCCGAAGCGGAAAGTGTGCACTTAACCGCTGTGCCACCGGGCCGGCCCCATATCTTTCTGTTTTTATTTTTAACTCTCCTCTCTTCAAAATGATTTTTCTAAACCATTTTAATGTAAATTGGATACTGTGCTTATTTACCCCTAAATAAATCAGTGTGTCTTTCTTGAGAATAAAGATATTTTCTTACATAGCTATATTGTAGCTGTCAAACATGGATCTTATAAAGCTTCATTAGTTGTCTCAGTAAAATATTTATAGCTGTTTTACCTTGTTCAGGAGCAAATCCAGAGTATTATGAACATTAGTCATGTATTTTTAAACTTTAATCTAGAACACTTCCTTTTTTTTCTTCTTTTTTTTTTAATACTATAGGTTAATTATTTTGTAGAATGTCCCTAAATTTGGGTTTGTTTGATATTTTTCATAATTAGATTCATGTTATGCATTTTGGCATGCTTCTCACTGAAATGATATGGTACCCACAAGTGCAATTTTTCAAAGGTACATACCATCCTCTCTACATACTGGGATATTTTAGGTTAAATTATTTGGTAAAGTTAATTTTCTTAAGGTCTCTCAATTGTAAAGTTAATTCTTTCCTTTTGTGTTTAGTATGTATGTGTGAGGCATTATATTGAGACTATGGACATATTCTGTTCTTCTTCAAAGTTTCACCTACTTAGTTTTAAAATACATTCACGATTTTCTACCTCCATTACTGACTCTGCCTTTAAGCTAGAAGTTTACTGTAGGAAGAAGTATTCCCTTCTCTATATTTGTTTATGTTCTTATCTATTATTTATATCAGTTTTTTATTTAAATCAGATCAGACTCAGTAATTATTTTATTCAATAGTATAGACTATATTACTGCCATTATTTATTTTGATACTTTTTCAAATTGTCTCAATTTTGGCTAGCGAGAGTCCCTTCTAGTTGGCCACAATGTCTTTTTCAAAAGTCTGTATGACTCTTTAAGAACTTCCAAATTTTTCTAGCACAAAAAGGATGTTCTAGGCTCCTGTTGTACTTTTCCTATCCTTGCTCTGGATTCAGCTATTTATCCAAGAATCTCAGGTTTCTTTTAGTAGAAAATAAGTATCTGGGCACCAAGTATGCTTACTTCCACTGGTTTTCATTACCTCTAAGCCCTCTCAGTTAACGGAGTTAGAACACACAGGCAATATATCCCCATACGTGTATCACAGATTTATTTCTGTATCCATTTGTTTATATCTCTGTATTTAAAACATGAATTTATAATGATAATTTTATTTCCAGTTAAACACCACAAAGTACATTTTGGTACATTTATAAGTTGCTTTCTCATATGCTCAAGCCCAGAATGCACAGAAGTTTGTTTCACAGTTGCTAAAAGCGTATACTGACCAAGGGAAACATTCTAGCTGTTATGCCTATATTTTCCTTTAAGTCATTGAACATTTTTATATTAGTTGCTATAAAGTGCTTCTCTGCCTATTGCAATATCTGTGTCATTTTAATATTGGTATCTAGTGATTTATTTGCTCCTTGACTATGTCACATTTTAATTATTTTTGGCAAGCCTAGCAACTTTTTTGCCTTATGTTGGATACTATGAATAACACCTAATGGAAACTTTGCATTCATTTATGCTTTTCTGAAGGCTATATAATTTTGTTATGGAAGGGATTTAACATAGCTTGACTCATACTATAAACAACACCTCTCATTTCTCCAAAATGTGCTACTACTTGGTATTGTCAGTCTTTTTCATTTTAGTCATTCTAGTTGTAACTTACTTTTGTTTTAATTTGAATTTATCTAATTAACAATTATTTTGAGCATTTTTCCAATGTTCATTTTTCCACATTTTCCAATGTGGGTGTCTTCCTGTGTAGTGAATCTGTTCAAATTTTTTTCTACTGTATTTGGAATGGTTTAGTCTTCCTACCGTTGAGTTTTACGTTTGTATCTTTTTATTCTGAACTAATTGTAGATTCATGGGAAGCTGCAAAAATAATAGAGAGAGAATAGAGAGGTCTCCTGTACCCTTCACCTGGTTTTCCCAAATGGTAACATTTTATATGACTTATATCATATATATCTTATCTGTAGAACAATATCAAAACCAGGAAATTGGCTCTGGTAAATTTACAAACTCTACCCCTCAGAGTTCATCAGTTTTACGTGCATTAGTGTGTGTGTCATATGTGTGTCGTGTGTGTGTGTGGTGAATTCCCATCTTAACAATGTTGAGTTTTCAATTAATAAATACGGAATTTATATCTAAATTTATTTCAGTCTTCTTTAATTTTTCTCATCCACATTTATTAGTTTTCAGCGTTCAAGTGTTGCATGTATTTTGTTAAATGTATTCCTAAACATTCTACTTTTGAAAATACTGTAAATAGAATGGCTTTCTAAATTTCATTTTCACATTGTTCTTTACTGACATATAATAATAGTAAAAATTCAAATAATATTTTATATTGATCTTTTATATTGTGTGATTTTCCTAAACTTTTTCTTTTTTTGCCATGAGTTTATTAGCATTTCCATGTCCAGGATTGTGTCATCTGCAATAATATCTGAATTATTTATTCTTTTCCAATTGGGATGTCTTTAATTTGTTTTTCTTGCTTGATTACACTGTGTACATATCCATTAAAATGTTGAAATACAAGTGTAGAAAGAAGAGCCACTTGCTTACTCCCAATTTTATGGGAAAAATTCAGCTTTTCACCATTAAGTTTATTGTTAACTCTTTTGTTATTGTTAGGGTTTTTTGGATACTCTTTATCTGATTGAGAAAGTTCCCCTGCCTTCCTACTTTTTTGAGAGTTTTTAATCTTGAATGGTGATTGTATTTTTTCAAATGCTTTTCATTTATCTATTGACATGATTCTATATTTTTTGTCCATTCTTCTATTCATATAGCATATTACATTATTTGTTTTTCAGATGTTAAACCGACTTTAGGTCATTTTTTTATAATCCACTCTGACAATGTCTGGCTTTTAATAGGTTGTTTAGACCATTACCAATAAAAGTGATTATTGATATAGTTGGACTCGTATCTTCTGTCTTCAAATGTAACAATATATAATATAGTAATAGTCCACCTTAATAACAGTGTACTACTTCATGTGTAGTGCAGGCGTATTATAAGAGTATCCCAATTCCTCCATCCAGTCCCCTGCAACATCACTGTTATTCATTTTAATTATCATGTACTATAAATAGCCAATACGTTCTTTGTATTATTGCTTTAAGTAGACAGCTATCTTTTAGTTAGTTAAGAATAAGAAAAATAAAACATTTTTCTTTTATTTATTCATTTTCTGATACTCTTCCTTTCTTAATGCAGATCCAGGTTTCTGAATCATGTCACTTTCCTCTGCCTCAAGACCTTCTTTTAACATTCCTTGCAAGACAGATCTGCTGGCAAAGGATTCTATTACTTCCTGTTTTTCTGAGAAAGATTATTTCTCCCTAAATTTTGAAGGATAATTTCACAGGACACAAAATTATGAGTTAGATTTTTTTCTTTCAACACTTAAAACTTTCTTCCACTTGCTTGTTAATTGCAAGTTTTTGATGAAAAGTCTACTGTAATTGTTATCCTTGTTCCTCTGTAAGTAAGATGTGAGCCCAAACTAGTTGCCTTCAAGATTTTCTCATCGGCTTTGGTTTTCCTCAGTTTGAACGTGATATTTTTGTGGGTGGTTTTTGTTTCGGTATTTATGCTGCCTAGTGTTCTCTGAGTTT